CTCACGCGACTCAAATAATCCGAAGATATAGCATGAGTTAATAGGGAAGCCAGTCTGTATTGAAAGAAAAACAAAAATGAAAAGAGCTTGTTGCGAAAAAAGCGCCGAATAAAAGTTATTGAAACTTAATATTTGAAAATAGTATTGAACAGTAATATTTCGAATTTATTAAGTCATAATCGTACGCCTTTGGCACGTTCAAATCTTTGTCATTTTCCATTTACAAAATGAAAATCCACAAGTAAAATTAAAACAGTCAAGACTGTCGATAAGAGGATTCAATACTTGACTTGAAGCCTGGTAAGGTATAATAAATGTATTTACTGTAAAATACTTATTAATAATTCATTAACCTTGTGGCAAATCATGTCAGCCGTAATATGTCACGTGCAGGAGTGACTGTATATCTGATAAAACACATGTGACATTATATAATTGTTCATCCTAATTAGTATTCTTATATATAAAGAATACTAATGAGACATCTTTTGTAGTCGTATTTCAAACCATTCAAAAACACAGGTTGTCGGGTTTTACTCAGAAAATGTAAAAATCCCCAGTCTAAATTTTTTTGGCAGTTGAAGTAAATTTTAGCCTACCATTTTTATTCATTCAGGGTTCGTAGCGGTCTTTAAATTTGAATGCAGGTCTTTAAGGTCTTTGAAAAGTCTTTGAAAGCGAAGAAAGCCTTTAAAAGTCAATTTAAATTCTTTAGTGAGTATTTGATTATACGATTTCCTAGCTAATAAAATAGATTGATTGAAGCAAGATTTTCGCAAATATGGACGAAAAAGTGCATTTTAGGATGTGATTTGACAGGACTAATTACCTGGTAAAAATGGTGCTTATACATCGCAATTTTTCGACACCTGATTGCTCTCAAAGGTCTTTGAAAAGTCTTTGACAATATAGGCAGAAAAAATCTTTGAAAGTCTTTGAATTGTTTTGGTCTTGGAGACTACGAACCCTGTCATTGAACTGCCAAAATGGCAATGTCTCGTATGTGACATATTGCATGTAAAACTCAATGTTTTCATGATTACATTTCAAATATAAACGTATTTAGTCAACTAAATGATCTACTATATATATACAATATGAGTTGTGGTAAACAAATGCATGAAATGAAATATATCTATAGAATTTCTTCAGACATTTTTTTTTTGACTTGGCAGTTCAAATTTGTTTTTTGCCTGCCGTTTCTAAAATATGTGCGCCTGCCTTTGGCCATTGGCATCCCGCTATATAGCCCTGTACCTGATTGTTGGAACATATTCAGTTTCTTTGCTTGAAGTTTGGAAAGTCTCGATCGTTTCACGTTCTTCAGCTTACAACAGCACAGCCCATTCAACAAAACAAAGATGTTTTATAGAGGTATAAAGCTGTTGAATTATACAATACTTGAACAATACTTGAAAAACTGCTTGCGTATTCAAGATGGTGCTATACGCCTCCCATGCACTCATCATGAAAGACAAGCGGTACGCTTTTGCCAGAATAATAATAATTTAAATTTTAATAATTTATTTATTTATATATATATAAAGCACTAAAAACTAGAAATATTCTAATGCCCTATCATTATAAATTGAAATAAAATGTTATAAAATATGAGAAGATACCTATACTCACCTCCTGCGTGGCAATGCTATGTCGCTCGAAACGTTCAGCTTTTTTTAATTCGTCTGAGCACAGAGAAGAGATATATACAGAGAGGAAACTGACACTCGATAACCTGAATTTTTGTGTCACGCGTTCCACGCGCCACGCAAAATCTTCCAGCCAGTGCCGTCGCTGAAATTTCGTAGCAAAAGATAGGGAAAACGCCGTTCGAAAGGTGAAAATCGCTTTTTAAAAAAATGAGATACCCATGGAAATTTTGTTCAATAAATTATTGTAGAATAACGGTAAGCGATCACTTTTATTGATTTCTTTTTATTAAAAGTGTTGACATAACATTTTATTTCGCAAAAGTTTTTTTTTTTTTCCCTATCTACTCCTTATTAAAATCGTGAAAAGCACTGCATGGCTGGGATTTTCAGATGCTCATGTATAAAAAACAAAGCAGCGAATGATATAAATGCCTCAAAATATAACTCTTGCATAAAAAAAAACATGAATACTTCTATAATATGTATAGTTTTTTCCTCTGCATGGTCACAATTTGATAAAATAGTGAATTACTATAATTTTCTATAGTTAACAGACTTATTAAATATATCGGCGTGACATAATTTGCCGCGTGTTTCCTCTCTGTATATCTCTTCTCTGTGGTCTGAGAAAGCGCCTTTCACTTCTGAGATCGCTACGGACCAATACGCATGGATAATAAAATAAATGGATTGGAAACTAGCTGACGTGACCTAATGTTTTCAATGGGCTGATGGCGTGGTTGGATGTTCAAACCTAGTTGCAAACCAAATTGTCAAAAACGGCATGTTTAGCAATAATATACAGCTAAACATTTAGTCAAAGAGCAAATAAATATAACTACGCCATTCTACGATGAAATCTCTAAGTATTCCCAGTCAATTTTAGCAAATATTTCAAGCACTAAACAGTGAAAAATGCATCGCAAATTTCGTTAAAATATTTCGTAGCTATACAAATGTAAAAAAATACAGAACAAAGACGAAAAACATTTACCTTGAATACTTTGTCGTGGCTTAGGCATGTTTTTAAAACAATTAGACCAGTTTATGCTTCAATATTACTCTTTTAAAGCGGAAAATATAGCGAGACAACGAAAATCTGAGAACTTTGGCAATGCGCGTGAACGTCAAAGATTGCAACTAGGTTTAGACTGTGACGTCATGCAGGAAGTGTCCTATATATCCAGTTATTTTACAATCCATGTATGGACTCATGACACTTATGTGAAAAGAGTCAGTCAACGCCCTACCGAAAGTCGTGGGATTTCTCCGGATACCCCGGTTTCCTCCCACAGGGAATGTTGACAGGGTGGGTTGGGTTATCCCCCTAACTGACCCTTCTACCGTAGATGTGCCCCGTGATCAGACATGAGTCATAAGGTGGCTGCCATTGGCGCCCTTAGAAAGCCTTCGACCATTGAGTCACTGAAAAGCCCTTATATGCCGAAATTCCACTAGCGAATTTTTTCGCGCGGAGCGACCTTTTTCCTTTGTCGGCATCCATTTTGCGACGTCTTGCTGACGTAATAAATGATACCGACAAAGGAAAAAGGTCGCTTCGCGCGAGAAAATTCGCCGTAGTGGAAAACCGGCTTTAAAGCTGGTTTTACACCAGGGGGATATTTTGCGCATGGAGCGGAATTTTTCTTTCTCTTTTCTAATTTATTGCAGCAGTTCCACCCGTCGCAGGATTTAAAACCACAAACATGCATGATGCATCCACAAGATATATGTGGATTGCATGAGAGAGATTGAGTCTATGTGCACACGGGCGTCGTTTTCGAGCGTTTTCAAAAACGTTTTTGTCCCTTTAATCGCTTTGATGCCCTGTTCACGTGGTTCAAAAGAAAATATCTCCAATATATTAAATAAACTACAGCTTCAGTCGTAAATTAATAGTTTTCGCATCCGTTTTAGCCTGAAAACGCAAATGAAAACGCTCGAAAACGTTACCGTGTGCACGTAGTCTCAGACTACTTACTACTTGCCCACTTACTACTTTCAATTAATCTGAAGCTCTCTATGACATAATGTATACTCCATGTCTTCCGTGTTAAAAAACAAAACAAACACAATGAAACCGAACACAGATCAATTATTATCGGCATGCAAATTAAAGATATATGTGAATTGAGAAGGATTGAACTATACCTAGTGAAAAATACAAGTAAAACTTCGACGTTTCGGGCGAAGGCTTTCGAAATTTGCTTTCAAATTGAACATCTTTTCAACAGTAATAAGTAAAATCATAGTCATATATCGACAATATTTGGGTGAACCACATTTTAATGAACTTTATTGTGCATTTACGTATATCGTATTTAGACTAAATTAAAGCTTGTAATATTTTTACAAACATGTATCACTCACGATGTAAAACCAACCATAACTGTCAATTATTATCATATAAGATTGCGCATTCAAGTCATATTGTTCATTGCAGTTCACCATTGATTAATGTGCTTTGTGTATTTCTACGAAGTAAAGTTTATTCCGCATACTCTAGTGGCAGTGCAGTTCACCATTGATTAATATATGCTTCGTATTTCTGTGCTAATTACTAAGCTTATGCTAAAAGCCTAAACGTTATCCCAATGTCTACTTTCCTTCAACAAGAAAAAATCTCACAAGTTGTTCCAGACTTGAGTCGAAAGCTAATTTGTATAAAATAAATAAATACGGTGCTTCCACTTTTCAAAAGCAGTTATTATCTGCTGTCATGCATGCCGACCGAAAATGCGGAAGTGAGAACTGGACAGTTTTTCTTAAAATAAAAACAACTGGTTTGCAAAATGTGAGATGTTTTCCTTTGTACATGTTCTTTATACATGTGCGATCTTTCCGACCATCAACTTAACACATTGATTCTCAACACAGCACTGATTGGAACGAGAATTACATGTCTTCTTCTCGCAAATTTGTGCAAATTTGTGCACTCCTGCCTTTAGTTCGCGACACTTACAGGTACATGCGTGCGCTTTACTCGCGCAAACGAGGTGGTTCAAGGGCTTAAGGAGGTTAATACTATTAAGGCAGGACCAAAAATTGACCCTACATTGTTGACAGCATCTATACAGGGGGTGGGAGATGACAGGGCCGTCGTCCAAAATCAATACTGAGACGGCAAGGCATGACTTGATAGGAAAGGCAGGCTGTATTGAAAGGAAAAAAAAGAAAAATGAAAATATGCAGTTGTTGCGAAAAAAGCACGGAAAAATGTTTTTGAAACTCAATATTTGAAAATTTTCGAATTTATTACAAATTCATTATCAGACTAATCGTATACGTACGCCTTTGGCACGTTCAATTTTTTGTCATTTCCTCAATTTTTTTCCACACTGAAATAAACGTAAAACAGTCAAGACTGTTAATAAAACCAGGAATCAATATTTGACTTGAAGCCAAATGGCAAATGATGAATTTAGCCCCTGCGTTCAAGCAATCTTCAATTTCTCCTTTTCGTTTGACTGAATCTATCATTTTCTTGGCCCGTTCTTTTCCGTATTAATCCCCAGAATTCCACTGTAATAGACCTTTCCCCTTTTAAGTGAAATTTTGATCTAGACAAGTCTGGACAAAAATTTCATCACAGCTTGAAAGAGCATCACAAAATTAGTAATATTCCGAAGTTTCGTTGCGAAATGTTGTAAAATGCGGATAATATAGCCTTGCGAAATTTGCAATTTTCAGTCATTTTGTATTACAAACGGGAAATTGGTAATCAGATGATCAAAATGATTATCAATTTCCCATTTGTAATACAAAATGCCACTGAAAAACGGCAAACTTCGCAAGGCTATATTATCCGAATTTTACAATATTTCGCAACGAAACTTCGGAATATTACTAATTTTGTGATGCTCTTTCAAGCTGTGATGAAATTTTTGTCCAGGCTAGTCTAGATCAAAATTTCACTTTTAAGGGGAAAGGTCTATTCAAGACCCTCGCGCACTTATGTTATGGTAACTATTAAAGTCAGAAGAAATATAAAAATGACAGCTGATGTATTTGCTGGGTATATAAATCAGCACCGGCATACAAAAATTTATCCAAAGTTTTTATTGAATATTTTGATATATAAGCCATGGTGAAAACTCGAGATAGCCAGGAGGTTCTATTAATTTACTTAGTTACTAATGTAGCTACATTTTGGGCAGATCTCACTTGGCAAAACGCAATGTTATAGCTGAGTTCGTGTTTTTGTTGTTTAAATTTTATCAACAATCAGATACTTGCACTTACCACCAACTGTCTCTTTTTCCGGCTGCTAATTGTGGTCGGCGCGAGAATCTGTTTTACAGCGTTCTTCCATACTTCGAGCATCGGATTTCCTGGACACCTCTGTAGTTTTTTCGGAAGCCATGATGCGCCTTCGCTGAGAAGTACCAACTGTAAAATCACCAGTGCCACCAGTATTCCCTTCATGATTTCTGTAATACAGACGTGTAAACAGTACATGAATTTATTTAGCCTGATAATATATAACATAAAATTATATCTATCAAAACTCACATTTATATCTGCAAAGCGTCGCTTGAAAAAAAATTGTGCTTGTATTATGTATACCTCCAACGACTTCAGCAGAATAAAGAACTAGCTCCAAGGCTCTCTTTTTATATCATACTCTAAGAGCGAAGAACAGGAAATTGTTCGGAGATAATTGCTTGCAGCGGATGGGAACGCCTCTGCTCATGTGAGAGTTATTAAAAACGTATATTAAAGCTATACTGGAATTGTTGCATAATTACACAAATTCAAATAGAAACGAAAATAACTTTTTAAAATACTTATTTGTAATAACTGTACACATGCACCCACTTTTTTCAACTTCTGCACCTACGCACCTCGGGAATTTGCAAGGAAGATATTAACTAGGACTGAACTAACCTATAGTTAGAGGAAGCTTGATCCTTGCTTAACATCCAAACTAGAATATTTGCAAACCGAGCAAGGTGCTGTAAGAGGGCGGCAAGTGTGATATAGTACAAGTTCTACAATAAGCTTGTCATAGTTTGTATTTGAATCATGCATGAAAGCCTGTTCGATGTTTTGCTTATATAACATGCTGGGTTTGATCACAGTTGTTCGAAAGGCGATTGTTAACCAAGTTAACCTAGAACAGAAAGCAAACTTCCCAACAAGGCAACACCATGTTTATAAATTTGGAAATATTTCTTTAGAAATCTCCTCTGGATCAGTAGAAGTTTTCTTCTCTGAAGGTTTAAAATAAGCATGCAGAAACACATATAAACTAAAAGTGCATCAATGTTAAACTTCGAAGATTATAGCGCTAACCATTTGGGCAATTAGGCCTAAGCTTTGAACAACTATAGCCCCTGCAGATTACTTCAGCCACTATACGAAACCTATATATAGGTTATGACTATGTCTTTAACTTCCAAGTTCCTGTTTTGTGTATCGAGTTTCTTGTATATCCTTTGCCGACATGATAGTTTCAGCAAATACAGAACTAATGTTTTACCAAAAAAAATGTGAATGAATACACAATCCATTTGAAGAAAACTAATTTTAGGGGAATTACGTTACTGTTAACTGTAAGTCCAAGCTAAACTATAATTTATAAGTTCCGCAGTGGTTTCGCCATCATTTCGTTACGGTGGTTCAATGTGTTCCGGGTTGTGAGAAAGCAATTGAATGCGGGAGAGAGAGAGAGAGAGAGAGAGAGAGAGAGAGAGAGAGAGAGAG